GGTTGGCTGCCCGAGGCTCTCTCTCAACCCGGTTGGGACCCCCCTTTAAATACGTTTACTTGAAACAGAAGAAACGACACTTCACATCACAGTCCCGGCCACTGCACTTAGGGGTACCTCCCACTGGATATACCACATTCACACTCCGACTCACTCTAACCTAGCCTAACCTAACCTACCTAACCTAAAAACATAACCTAACGTAGCATAATCATGCACTCAAACACACATCTCGCACACACGAAAAACGCCAGACTATCAGTCCGCTGGCTGGTCTCGCTGGCCGGTTCAATTTGGTTGAATCTCTTGTAGATTTATACAGGCTGGTCGACCTTACTCCGCCGTTTTCTGACGCGCAGCCTCCGGAGGGGCCGTTGTCATGACAACGCCGGTGCCGGCAGCCCGGCCGCGCAGGTGCTGTACTGTTAACCCGCGCTCGGCTGGGGGTCCTGGATTTCCACGCCCTGCTGGGGGGTGTTTGAACACCCCCCCTTGTAACTCGGCTCCTGGGCCACGTAGCGATACGCGGAAGGCGGCGTTCGAAAGAGCGTCAAAAATAATGACGAAATCACTTCGGTCAATTTTTTGGTCAGGTCAAAGGTCAGGTCACCAGAGGTCATTGAAGGCAAAATTTCGCCGATTTCCAGGTCGAATGGCGAAAATTTCCAAGAAGCCAACGCATAACTCGGGAACCAATAGAGCTACAGCGCCGCGGAAAAGCGCATTCGATAGCCCTATTAACGCCCTTTCTGAATAATTCTCTCAGATTTGACCTAACGTCAACGGTTTTGCCTGCAGGGGGCAAAAACTGCAAAAATAGCCGATTTTTTCGGAAACAGTTTTTCTTCAATAACTTTTGACCCAAGCCCTGTACGAGCTTACTTTTACCGGCATCGTGTTCCTCTCGTCAAGACGCATCGAATGAACTATAACTTGACCTTGAAAGGTCAACTTGAAAATTTGACCTCAGGTCAAGGTCATGACCTGACCGGAAAGGGTCATGTTGCATATCAGTCGATCCGTATCGTCGAGCTGAACACATCTAAGGCGTTTTCATCGCTCTAGCATGCCTCTATCAAAAGTTATTTGCGAAAAACTGTTAGATACCATTCGTGACCTAAGATGACCTCAGGGCATAAACAAGGGTCACGGACACCATTTTCATGTTCAGTGTGTCTAAACCACTTGTAATTCGGTGTTTGGGAGTGTTTATAATGTGTTTCATCCAAAAGAGGCGCATTTCAATTTTCTCCCATTGACTTATAATGGGGAGGTCGCAAAATTGACCTGACCTTAGGTCATCGATATCAAAATTCTGAGACATACATTTTGTACATGCTATTGCTCTTAGCAATCGCTGAAAGTTTCAAAGCGATCGGTCACTCGGTGTAGCTATGACAGACATTGAAACTTTTTATGAGGTGAGGTCACTTCAAGTGACCTGGTGACCTGACCTTGAATGACCTTGGTCTGAAATTTTCACAACATGTGTAGAATTAATGTATGATAAGGTGTACCAAAAACGGCGGCGCTCCGCGCCGCCGTTTTTGAGATATTCGCGAAAAACCACAAGGGGGGGGGGTGTTCAAACACCCCCCCCCAGCAGGGCGCGGGTTAAGCGCGACCGTGTGACCGGGCCGTCCCCCCTCTTCGCGTCCTGTCGGCGGTCGGCTGTTATCAGTTATGACCGCTTTTGGCCGCTGACGCCGCGCAGCTGTCGTGGCGGGTGTCTGTTTGAAGCAGTTTGCTTTTGTGCCGAAACGTTTGAAATGTTAGAACCGAGAAATACAATGCTTGTAAGAGTTGTTGTTCAGCAGACGGGCAGCGATTTCAGATCTCGAATAACGGTACTAGCCCGTTTTACCACATGCCGAGATATCCCTTTAACATTAGCACGTGCATTTGGGAAATGGCTTCGGCCCGCCTCGGCTAATGTTGAAGGTATTTGGGAAACGATTCGGCCCTAGGGCTTTTTGATTTTCCCAGACAAAGTTTTACTGAATATTCTGAGCGGAAGAACCAAATCCAAAGAAGATATTTTCGGATTGTGTGTTCACTAACAGCAACAGCATGCAAGTGAGCAAAATTAAGTGACTGCGTTTTCACTTACTTTTGCTGTCAACGTAATTCAACTAAACAAGGGTAGGTATCGTTCCAATGCCAATGTATTTATTGCTGCAGAACAAGGTCAGAGTACCTATACATTATTACAACATAATGCACGCAAAAAACGAACACTTTAAATGCGCGAAGCATCTTAACGAGCCACAATGAAACATTTGGATATTGTTCCAGCTGGGATCTAAGACGCGTTTGATTCAGCGTTTCACCCAATTTTCAGTTTTCCTCACGGTTTCCTCACTCCTGCTGGACTCCATATCTTTATAGTTTATTCTAACTTCTGGCGCTTCACCATCTTCATCCTCAGCTTTTTCAATCCCTAAATAAGGGAAAAGTAAGGAATTTCATCTTTCATACTCAACGGCCAGCGCCGCCCAATAATGAAAAACACAAAAAAGAGTCGCGGTGACTATAAATATGAACATAGTATTAATAGAATATTAACACCATATTAAGAATATAATATATAACAACAAATGAATATGATATTAACTGTTGCGCCGGTACGGCATGTGGTAAATCTCTTCCCAACCTTGGGCTGTGAAAATGCAGTTTTATTCACCTCGGTTTTTGGCTACGGACCTCGTGCCTACCGGCACTCGGTCCTCCGCACAAAAACCTCGGTGAATAAAACGCATTTTCCCAGCCCCGGTCGGGAATATATAATGCCGCTCCGACACCCTTTTGACGATGTGGCCGGGCTAAAAATGGATGTTTTCGGTATCTCGGCGCGGCGACCTGGTGGCCAGATGGGACGCTGATCGGCCGTAGCGTCGTAGCCCGTGTTTGCAGCCAGGAACAGAACGGAATTGAAGTTAGAAAAAGGTCTCCGATGCAGCCAATGATGCTATTTGCAAGAATGATGGAAAATGTAACCGCATTAACGTTACATTTTCTCTCCTCTTCTTTGAGTCGCGCCGCGGGGTTGAGTTGTAGGTAGTCTTATGTTGAGGTCCGTAAAATTGGCAAAATGTAACCGCCAGCGTTACAGGATCAGACGACTTTGTGTATGAGAGTGAGCTTAGGGCATGAGGCAAATAACGGTGATTTTGATAATTGCACTCCTCTAATCAGCGTGATTGTTTGTTAGTTTTAAATTCAGTGTGTTTTTCACAAATAATTAATTCACACTTTTGCGTCATAAGCAGGCATTTTTTTGCTGTGATAGGTATATTTTCTCAAAGCCTTGTGTTGACGTAATCAGGTGTCAAAGCTCTCGCGCCATGATGTTTCAGCTGAATCTGGCGGTAGTTTACAATAAAATGGAAACGTCAGTCGGTCACACGCCCACTAGCGTATATTTGGGTGACCGTGATCCATGCCCTCACGCGCTGCCGCGCTATTCGCTAACACTGACGGTGATTGAACACATGGCTTAACACGTGACATGAAAGGTGTAGGTAGGTATCGACTTTGGTGTAGGTACTTATGAAGACATGCATCATGAGACATGCCTGCATGAATGACAAGGAAAAATTATCATTTATTGTTTCTGAGCCAAATATCAACCCTCGCCCCGCTGGGGGGGAGGGCAATTTGGCCCCCCTGTGGTTTTTCCTAAATAGTTAGAAAACGGCGGCGTGCAGTGCCGCCAAATTTTCGTACCTTTCCAGGCATCAATTTGACACCTTCACACCAAATTTCAAGTCTTAGGTCACCTTAGGTCAGGAGTTATTGAGCTCAAACTGAGGTCATGTTCGAGCAAAAATGAGCAAAAAACATGAAATCGTGAAACGCTCACAAAAGCTACAGTTACCAAATAATTTCAAAATTCTTTATATGGACATGTAGACAAAAAAATAGCGCTACAAAACTGCTATCTCGGATTTTTAAAATTTTTAGATTTTGACCCCAAAAATTCAAAAAAATGATTTTTTTGCAAAACTAAAAAAATCCAAAACATTTCCGAATTTCGAAAAAACCGGAATACCTACATGTGATAGTCCTCGCGCTCTTCTATATACATAGCAAATTTTAAATCGATACCTCCTTTTTTGGCCAAGTTATAGCGAAAACTCAAAACACTGTTCAAAATTGATGACGTCATATTTTTAAACTCGATTTTTAGCCATTCTAAACCACGTAGCGCAAAACAAAAACCACCATTGAACTCCCCGTGACGAGCTGCATCGAATCGATACCATTTTATGCAAAAATATCAACTTTGAAATTTGACCTAATTTGACCTGACCTTGACCTAACCTTGACCTGACCTTTACCGAAACATACTCATCTAAACTGACCCTAAAGACTGCCTGACCCACATAATCGTATTTGACTTATAAAACGCACAATAAAACATGAATCACATGATATCTTCATAATGTGACCCTCAGTGACCTGACCTCTGTGACCTGACCTGGTATCAGTGACCTCAAATAGCAAAATTTGTGTTGACGAACATTTCACCATCGATGATTTTCAATGAAATGCATTTTACTCGATTTTACCACGCATTTCTTGAAATGCCTGTAAACGGTGAAAATTCGACATTTGACCTGACCTGTGACGTCATCGGTTTGACCTAAGTCAACGAATTTGGGTCACAAGGTAGTTCCCTGATGGGGCTATCTAACACCGTTTACCGCTTGTCGCTATGTTGCGTGGTTCTCGAGATCTTAGGAGGGGGGCAAATTGACCCCCCCCCCCCCCCAGCAGGGCGCGTTGGTCGGCAGACCCCAGCGGGGCGCGGGTTAATTCACCTTCATGCTGTTTCGTGTAAGGTTGATATAGGTATGCATTGTGCAAACCAATGTCAGTTCAGTTCAGTTCAGCCAGGGAACCGTTTTCGTTCAGTTCTGTCAGGGAACCGTTTTCGTCGGAAACCGTACCCTCCGGGCGTTTGTTACCATGACAACCGTTGTTATTGACGATTGACCGAAGTAGCGCTCTGCTGTCTATCGTGGCGCAGCGTGTTGAAAGACCGGTGTGTAAAAGTGGTTTGGTGAAAGACGAAAGTCGTTTGGCTTTTCCCTACAGCTATAGCATAATTCTGGAAACTTGCATTACTGCAATGCATTAACTTACCGAATCTTTGTTACAGACGTAAAGTAGTACGAGGCTGACAAAGAGAACGTGCAATGCGATCCCGCCACCCAAAATTTTGAAACATAAGGAAAGATGTTTTGGACATACTGATGGATTTCACATTTTACTCATCGTCGTATGCACTGCGAAGCTCGATAGCTTTCATAATATAGAGCTAATAATGTTCACTTTGACAGTGTGTGAATCTACATAATTGAACTGCTTCGAACGGTTTACAATGTCTATCGCTGAGGTCTCGTTAGTCCATATATTTGGGCTTAGGAACGACATTCCGAATAACGTATGTTACTGCGATGATCAGAACATAATTTACCCAGCTGGATCTACGATACTCAGCTACAATGTGCTTCACAAGCATCAAACGCATTTCGATGATCTAAGAAAACTCAGGAATCTGAAGAATTTTGCGTTGAGCCAAAACAAGTGAGTTCCGTTAGCTTTGTCGTAACTCGTAAATAAGCTTTATGTATCTCTACGGGCTACAACATGCGTTAAAAGTTCATGCCAGCCAGGCGTGGCTCGTTACTGGTTGTTAGATCGATTGTAGGCAGGGGTAACGGCTAGGTACAAATGTAGGTATTGTGTACGCTGTTCACTGCTCAGCTGTTTCGTTATGGTGCACTTAGTATATTTGTTGACTTTTCAGGATGCATATTGATTATTTTCACAATTTCTTCTGACCAGCAGATCGTTTTGTTTATCTGTTTCTTCTGATGGATGGGCGTCTTATGCAACGTGAATTTTCTTATATGTTGTCAGTCTAATTTATTAATACTTCCACAACTCCTGACGATTGTCATTATTTTCAGACGTTACCTGGCCGTCTCTGACTGCGTTGACAAGCCGACCATCTTCATCTATGACCTGTCTACGAGCAAACGGCGCAAGACGCTCTACTGCACAGAGGTGCAGTCCAAGGACGTCGTGTCTCTGTCCTTCTCCAGCGACCACAAGTATGTGCTGGTGCTCGGTGGCAGCCCGGACTACACGCTTGTCGTCTACCTCTGGGAGAAGGGGAAGATCGTCACCACGCTCAAGCCGAACATGCCCAACACCTGGGCAGCCGTCAACCAGGTGAGAGGATGCGGTAGATAATGAGATAAAACATCGGGTTGTAAATAAGGAGATGCTGCATGCACTTCCTTGCCCTGAACGTGAGATCCTGACTTTTGAGCAATGTATATCAATCGCTACTTTGTGTAGGCTTTATTGCTACCAAGACTGAACGTCGCTTCCCTTCGCAGGCGGTGTACAACCCGGCGGACCCGGCAGTGATCGTGGTGGTGGGCCAGCACCTGCTGAAGATGCTGCGACTCACCGAAGGATCGCTGCGTCAGTTTGGTCACCAGCGCGTTGAAAACACCAACTACATGTGCGCCGCCTGGGCAGGTAGGTACTGAAACTGACCGTAGGTAATAGCCACAGCAAGATGATGCAACATGAGGCAGATTGGTGTTCACGGTTCTGTGTGTTCCTCAGGTCAGAACCGTCTGCTGGTGGGTACCGACCAGGGTCGCGTGGTGCTGTATGACGCTGCTGAACTGAAGGCCGAGTTCCGGCTGGGCGATGTGCTGGGGAAGGACTCCTCCTCGGAGGCAGACCGCCGTTCGGTGAACGGCACCCGCTCCGGCTCGGTGGTGTCCGGAGGAGGTGTTGGCGCCGGCACACCCGTCACCAGCATCGTCACCTTCTCAAAGGTGTGTGTGGGGTGCAGGCTTGGTGAGGTGCCATGCTCGGATGTCTTCTGACTTTGTGTGATGGGTTTCAGCGGTATCGTCACTGGAATGTTCATGCTGGTTGCGATAGCTACGATTGTGGCAAAATTAGTCAAGAACGTCCAGAAATTGATGTGTTTTCGGCTTTCGTTTCGCGGAGATCAGTTGAATTGTATATCTGCTTTAACCCGGCCGGGCCCGGGGGGTAATCCCAACCACCGCAGCCCGGGGGGGGGGGGCGTTTTTCGCCCCCCTGTCTAACTCCGTAAATAAGGGAGCTACGGAAACAAAAGCGATACCAAACGAAAGGTCCTTACGAGACGATTCTAAAGCACCTAAAATTTTTGACCTCAGGTCAATTTTCAAGGTCAGAGGTCAAGGTCAAAGGCAAAAACCGGCACATGTGTAGTGATCTCAAAGTAAGCCTTCTAGAAGACGGCAGGCGGCATCAAACCGGCAAAATTGGGTGTCAAACGAAAGAAGAAAATCTGAGGATTCTGAAAATGTGCTCAAAATGAAAGGTCAAGGTCAAGGTCACGCTCAAAATTGACCTCAAACTTGGCACTTTTTCGCACATCTTGCGTGCTAACTTCCAAGATGTTTTGAAATGTTTTGAGGCTTATCAGTTTCCTATTTGTGGTTCATCTTACGATACAAGGCTGCTCAAAGGTCAAGGTCACTGAAGAGTATCCCTGCTAGAGGCTATTTCACTAATTCAAGTTAGTAATAATAAATAAGACAATTTTGCCATCCGGAAGCTCTAAATGAAGGCTTAGAGGAAAATAGATGCCAGATTCGTGATCAGCGGGTACAAATCCATCATAAACGACCTTTCATGTGTCAAGGTCAACCAGAGGTCATTCGAGGTCACATGAGGTCAACATAAAACTTGACCTTTTCCGAACAAAATATATATCATTCGACGCGGCTTGACAAGGCGAATGCGATGGTACCACTGCCGTAGCTCTAGGACCATTTTTGTCGAAGTTATTTGCGAAAAACTAAAACCACATTTCGGGGTCGTTGACCTGACCTCTGACCTCAGGTCACCAAAACTATTTTTCCATTTTTATCTAGGTCAAACGCTACACAACCGTGCTCGTAATTTGTCTTTATCTCTAAAACTCTATTTTTAGCAGCTATTTGAAGTTTGCGTCTGTGACGCCGAAGTTTGCCGTGCAGGGGTCTAGAAAAATGGACCTTGTGACGTCATCAAGGGGGCTAGGTCCAAATTTTTTACTTCAGAAGATGTCAAATTGATGGGAGAAAAGGTACTGAAAGTTTCGCTTTCCTATCCCTAAGCGTTCGGGAGCTATCGCAAATATTCGCCAGGGGGGGCGAAAAACGCCCCCCCCCCGGGCCCGCGAGGGTTAAAAATGTACCTTTTTTACTACATCTCCAAGCTTAGCATTTTATTATCCTCCCTTGGCATGATCTCAAACAGTTTCCACAGCCAATTGGCTCGTCATTTTTAGCCGTTCTATTCTGACCTGACCCTGACCGATAAGTGGCATCACCTGACCAGTCCCATCCCATCCGCCAGGGTTTCGTGGCCGTGTGCGGCGTGGGCATCGCGCACGTGTTTGACCGCGCCGAAGACCAGACGACCGAGTTCTACCGTCTGCTGCGGACGGTACACGTGCCTCAGGACCCGGGCAGGATGGCGGTCACCCAGGAGGCGCCGCCGCAGGAGGGTATCACCGGCCTGGCGGTCAGCCCCTCCGAGGAGACGCTGGTGGCCGCCTCCACTCGCAGTCAGCTCTACGTCATCTCCATGAGCAGCGTGTTTCTCAGCAATAAGGTTAGGCGACCGAGGATATTGTCAGGGACACATTTGTATGTTTTAACTTTACAGGCAAGATCCGCAATTGTATCTATTGATATCGCGTTATTGTACTAGTTGTAATTGCGTCATCGATTGAGTTTGGAATCACGTGTAATGTTTTGCTTTTTTCACAGGATGCTTCTCTCTCTCTCTCTCTCTCTCTCTCTCTCTCTCTCTCTCTCTCTCTCTCTCTCTCTCTCTCTCTCTCTCTCTCTCTCTCTCTCTCTCTCTCTCTCTCTCTCTCTCTCTCTCTCTCTCTCTCTCTCTCTCCCTCTCTCTCTCTCTCTCTCTCTCTTTCTCTTTTTCTCTTTCTCTCTCCCTCCCTCTCTCTCTCTCCCTCCCACTCTCTCTCTTTCTCTCTCTCTTTCTCTCTCTCTCTCTCTCTCTCACTCTCTCTCGCTCTCTCTCTCATGCTGCCTCTGTGTCTGTTCTCTTCCCCTGAATCTGTTTATTTTTCTTTATCCACGCCCCTCCTCACTATTACCCTTTCCTCTCCACTCTTTTTTCATCTCCCCGTCTCCCTTTCTAACTCTCTCCCTCCTCTCCCGACAGGGTTCCGACTGCGTGTTTGAGCACCTGTCGACGCCGTTCCACCACGGCTCCATCCTGGACATGGATCTGGCGTACCGTCGGCCGTTCGCCGTGACGTGCGGCGCCGACCGCTCGGTGGCCATCTGGAACCACAAGGCCATGACGCTGGACGTGTACAAACAGTTCCAGGACGACCTGCACAGCGTGGCCATACACCCGCTAGGTACGGCGTGGCCACACACCCGCTAGTTACGGCGGGCCATACATCCGCTAGGTACTGCGGGCCGTATACCCACTAGGTACGGCGGACCATGCACCCGCTAGGTACGGCGGGTCATGCACCCGCTATAGGTACGGTGTGGCTATACATCCGCTAGGTAGGTATACGGCGTGGCCACACACCCGCTAAGTACGGCATGGCCATACACCCGCGGCTAGATACGGCGGGCCATGCACCCGCTATAGGTACGGCGTGGCCACACACCCGCTAGGTATGGCGGGCCATTTAACAGCTAGGTATGGCGGGCCATACACCCGCTAGGTTTGTACGGCGGGTCATACACCCACTAGATACGGCGTGGCCATACACCCGCTAGGTACGGCGGGTCATGCACCCGCTATAGGTACGGCGTGGCTATACATCCGCTAGGTAGGTACGGCGTGGCCACACACCCGCTAACTACGGCATGGCCATACACCCGCTAGGTATGGCGGGTCATACACCCGCTAGGTATGGCGGGCCATACACCCGCTAGGTATGGCGGGCCATACACCCGCTAGGTTTGTACGGCGGGCCATACACCCACTAGATACGACGTGGCCATACACCTGCTAGGTACGGCAGGCCATGTACCCGCTAAGTACGGCGGAGCTGGAAGAGTGGGAGGTCCGGGCTAAGTGTTATATCGCAGGATAGAGAATGGAGTTTGAGAAAAATAATAATAGCGCAAAACGTACAAGTTACCATGGAGTTAGTAATATTTGCTTTATTGGGATTATTGGCTTCAGTAATCGTGGCATAACTAGAAACTGAACTAATGGCATGATTCATCAACCAAATACAGCAAGCATTTTTAGTTCTCATCATGCTCGATCTGCATTACGGTATGCCCAACCCAAGTTAACCAAGGCCAGGTGCAATGGAAAGGTAAATTTCAGCACTGGAATGGTATTTTGATTCAAGCTGTAATTTGTTTTTAATCAGGCAATTACATTTCTATGTTTTCCATACAACGACTTTGCTACACACTCCATGCTGCACATAACGTTGAAGTCAGTGGTTCACTGGTTAGCATATACTTCACAACACTGTAAAGTATGCATTTATTAGATGTCGATAGTTCGATGCAATATTATTGAACTCCATACCCAATTATTGAAACATAAATTATCGATCTGGTTTGATCTGGCTCCGTCGGTCCGGAGTTCCAACAACAGCTCTCGGTTCTGAGTATCGCGTCGGCCGGCGTTATTCGACGTGCCGTCATTGTGATGTATGTGTCCTCTGCGCTGGCCGATGGACCTTGACCGCCACTTGACGTGCAGGGCGCCGGGCCGCGCCGCTCTCCCGAGAGCGCCTCCGTTGCGCCAGTCTGTGCAAGCGGCAGATTCCCACAGCCCCTGTCGGCCGACGGACTTTGACACGACCTGACCGGTGGACCCGGGTCGGAGGGTCCGCCCGGCGGCGACGCACTGAGGTCAGCCTGCCGCCGCCGAGGGAGAGAAGGTGACACGACCGGCTCGTCAGCGCGGAATTACCGCGCTGCGCTCTGATCGATATAAACATCGCGACGGACCGGGGCAGAGAGCCTGGACGTTCCATCGCGGTCTCGACTGTCTGGTCGTTATCAACTGGCGTACACTTTCGATTTGATGTGGCAGTAGCGCGTGTCAAAACGTACGAAATGGACAGAGAAGTGAGAATGAAGACAGGGTCCAGTGTGCCTCGGCATCGTTATATAAATGTATGTATTCGTGGACACTGGACCACTTACAAAGGTCGAAACGGCGCTGAAATGTGGTGGATTGTATTGTCGTAAAATGCGTTGAACCCTTTGAACCAACGCAGTGCATTTTTGGTGATTGTGAATGACGCAGTTACAGTCTATTTATCTATTATGAAGGAGCTGGTGATCGCCGAATAGTCTTAGAAACAAAATCTAAGAAACACAAACAAGCAATTAGTGATGATTAGCCAATACCGTGAGCTCACCCACCCTCCACTTTACGAGTCTGGTCCTAAACGACATTTGGATATTTTCTATATTTGTCGATGTTGTTTAAAACTGCAGGATTAGCTTTCTTAACCGCTAATTTACCGTGGATATTGTTTGCTGGCTCTTCGATCATACTCATGTCCTCGAAGGCAAAGGGTAAACACGGGCCAAGCAGCCGGCACCTTATCAGTCGATGTGTTGACTCAACAGATCGAGTGTTAGTCACTGCCGAATTGAACGACCTCGGGCTATCGTTGCAGATGATGTGAAGTGATGATACTGTCTCCATGGCCATATCAACTTGTTGCTCTTTACATATTTTGTATAGGAATGCAAACACAAGGAAATTTGAGCCAGATGCGTTTTGCGATCAGTTCCGAATCGAGCCTTATCAATGCAGCAATGCTGAGGGTATGTTCTGCCTCCCTTCAGGTTACAGCGTACTGGCCGGCTTTTCCGACAAGCTGCGGTACATGGTGATCCTGATGAACGACATGCGCACCATCAAGGAGTTCGCCATCCGCTCGTGCACCCAGTGCGCGTTCAGCAATGGCGGCCACCTGTTCGCCGCCGTGCACGGCAACGTCATCCAGATCTACTCGACCATCACCTTCGAGAACGTCGGCAACCTCAAGGGTCACGGCGGGAAGGTGGGACCTCAGAGCGTCGAAATATGGGCGAGACTTGATGGGATCCGGAGACCATGTTTGGATTTAACTCAGCTACGGCCAGCGACTCATAACCTTTGCTCGGGATAGGAGCAACGGTTAACTTTATAGTGGTAGGAGCATTGAATGTGCATACTTTCCATATTTATGATCGTCCAGCTTCTCCCGGCACCTTTATAGCGTTGTTACCTGTCGTTCCTTCATTCGAATAAGCTGCACTTATCCCCTAGTACTTTTGATAATCCCAAGCCCTCGCCAGCCTGAGACCTGACCTGACCTGACTTACCGTGTCTCCCCCCCCCCCTCTGTCGCTCAGATCCGCGCGCTGCGCTGGGCTCCCTCGGACAACCGTCTGGTGTCGTGCGGCATGGAGGGGGCCATCTACGAGTGGGACCTGCAGCTGTGCAGACGCTGCGGCGAGAACGTGCTCCGCGGCTGCAACTACTTCAGCACGGCCGTGTCGCCCGACGCTAAGACCATCTACGCCGTCGGCTCCGACAAGATGATCAAAGAGGTGTCCGACTCGCAGGTAGGTGGGTGTCAGGACGAGGTGAGGAGAGGATAGTCGGACTGTGGGAAATTGGCAACTGAAAGTCTCCGTCAAAATTGTAAAAATCTTAGATCTAATTTTGGAATATAGCATACACCCCTAGGGTGCTTTTTACCCTCCAACACTTCAGACGAAGAAACGGTGCAACGAATTCACATACTATTTCTTAAAAGGTAATAGGTTCGTGTCACGTTTGCTCCCATATATACTTTCAATTTTCTTTCCTTAGGTGTCCACTTGTTCATCGTCGAACACTGTCTTCCCTTTGTCACTGCGTTAGTGTCTTGTTTTGGGCTTGGAACTTTTTTCTACCGATTGCTACTGAACTGCACAAAATGTCACTTTGAGCTGCTCATTTACCATAGGTGGTAGTTGGTCCCCTATTAGAATGTTGCTACCCATAGGCGGCGGAACGGGGAGGGCAGGGCACCGGGGCACCGTGCCCTCCTTTGATTTTTGCATTTAAACATTAGCCCTATGGGCGTTGCATGGAAAGAATGGGACCAAAAATCGGCAGTGTCCCCCCTTAATTGAAGGTGTTCCGCCACTACTGTTGCTACCGTCAGCATTCGCCCTCCCAGTGGGTGCCCCATGTGTCTGCCCGTCTCTGCGCCTCTTCACCGTAAACAAGTAATAACAGACAATGGTTCATGGGGGAGAGAATTCGGGATGTCTCCGAATAACTTGCCCAGGCCGGTACAGCTTGTACTGTCACCATGTTGGTTCGTTCTGAGTTCGGCTGCCCGCATACCATCAGACTGTCAGTGGCAAAAGAGACGGGCTCTTTATATGTATATTGCTACTTAGTTAAACTTGATGCGAATTTTGAGGATATATTCAAGTGTAATTTAAGACAACTTAGACCAAGTAACAGGAATGCGGCTTAGAATCAAATGTTTTGCTGTAGCGATTCAACCACGATTTGGCGTCAATCAACGATCTTTTTAGAACAATGCACGGGTAATATATTTTCGTCGAACCTGATTTTTTGATGTTGTTGGTGTTGAATGTTTGAATGACAGGACATGTTCCACATTTAGCCGTCTGCGTGTTGCTACGTGCCATTTCGGTGCCACTGGCGCCCGTGAGACATCCTGGTTCATTGTCTCGGTCGCCAGGGAAACTATCGCGATCGTCTGGGAGATCATTCGCTATCTGTGACCTTTGGGCAGGCGCGATCTATGATACGAACACAGGGTGCTACGCACACTTTTTCATGGGTGTGGTGTGCTTAGTGCTGGTGTCTTCATAGGTAGACAATGGCGGAGGTATTTTACCATGCCAACGTTCTCCTTTGCAGCTGGATACTTTTTAATTAAGTACTGTGATATCAAGAACTTCGACAAACACTTCATTTGAATCGAACTGATCTAAAGATGCAGCTTCACCGAAGTTTGAAGGTCGTGATAACGGACTTGAAATGTGAAAGGTGCGTTTGTCTTTTGATGAGCATTAATTTGCGACGCAATTTGATGAGCCATAATATACGACGGGCATTGATAAGATAAAGTTAATCAAAGGCCAAGGTGATTCAATGGCTAGGCAATTGCGTGTATTTTTCCGAATGTTGGCTGAATAGTATAGCTGCTCTCTGTGAGCGTCATGCATCCTTGATTTGATATCGAGAGTGGTGATTACCCACGTGAATAAATACCGATAGAGGATTCTTCATGGCTCTGAGTGAAAAAGATTATATGAGGCTATCGTTTCTAAGTGGTTTACTGCAAAACTGAGCGACGAAGGAGCGATATTTTTTTGGGAACAAGCGAGGGAAAGATATCCGATTTTCCACGAGTTAGCCATGAAGAACCATATATCATTCTATGTAGAGTTTTATTCATAATTTATTAAAATACTATAGTGTACCTATCCATATTTATTGATGTATGAAAAAAAGTTATCGATTTGTTAGTTTTCAATTAATAAATTTCATCGCTTATTTGGTCAATGGCTTACTCACATCAATTAGTACCGTTTTGAAGCCAGTATTCCGAAACAGCATCATAAAACCAACCTAAGCAAGGAGTGAAACCCGCAATGCTTTGTCTTACGCGCGCAATTTATGTCGAAGTTTCCCTGCGGTCGCTCCCGAGCGACCGCAGGAGCCGCAGGAAGAGGTGCGCGATTCTTATATTGCTGCTCTCGACTGATTGGCCGATAAAACTCCGCCTTTTTGGCCGCGGGAACCGCGGTGGCCGCAAACACTTAACAGGGCCCCTGTTACATCATTTGGAAACAATAATTTCGTATTTGCACGCAAACTAATATCACCACAGCAGCAATTGTCTGTTACCAAGGTTTTGGTGTACGATTTCAAAATTGCTAGATCTGCGTTGACGTCACAAATTCTAAGGGGGCTTTCATATGCATTAGCCCCTTAGAATTCGAAAACTGCAGACGTTGAAATTGCATTGCCGATGCTGTGAGTGTCCAAACCGGCAAGTGCAAGCGCAGGGACCCCAATTTGGCTATCTCAACTCGAAACTAATGTTACGGTGGGATGGCCTTTTTAAGCCGTGCTCATAGCGGTGTTCACATTGTGCTTGACTCTGGACTGTTGTGCTGTCAAGATGACTTCCACAAACCATGTTTAACCCTCGCATGTGTAGGGGGGGTCGGATGGACCCCCCCCCATGGTTTTTCGCGAATAACTCGCGTAAAAAGCGGCCGATCGCGACGAAACTTTCAGTACCCTCGCATTGATCAATTTTACACCTACCCTGAAAATTTCATGACCCTGACCCAAATGACCTTTGACCTGTGACCTCTTTTCCGAGACCATGTTTGGCCGGAATCGCGATTTCGCGTATGTCGGCTCGCACTAGCCGCGTGTTTGCAAGCTTTTCGTGGTTTCAAACGTTCAAACATGTGATTTGATGTTACTCCCGTGTGTGTCAAGGTCACCTGAAGGTCAGGTCAGGTCATTGACCTTTGGTGACCTCGGGTGACCTCGGGTCACTTTTTCGAGTTTTACATGTTTCTAGGCTAGTTTTTGGAGCTGAATTCGAATTTAGCAACCATTTGAACATTTACGAAGTAGTTTTGGTGACTTCGTAACATGTTACGAAGCTGTCAGAGGCGGTTGACACGTACTACGAATACCCGTCACGACGCCTACTGGTTGACCTGACCTGACCTGACCCGACCTGGTCTAAATGCTTCAAGACATCATCTGTGATCAAAACTAACACGATATTCGTGATCAGCACCCCGAAAAACCCCTTAGCAGCCACACTTTACGACTTTCTAACAGGTCCCGATTTTCCCGACTTTGGGTCATTGACCTGACCTGGAAGGTCAACCAATGACCTAGGACCTTAAAATTGGGTATCATCGGCTTCCTCTCGTCACGGGCAACACGCTCGTTTTTTCCGCGAAGCTCTAGCTCGATCAGGGGCCAAACGGCAAGGGGGGGTCCAACCGACCCCCCCCCCCTACACATTAGAAGCTGGCAAACGCCGCACACATGCGAGGGTTAATCGGTAACATGTGCATGGTGAAGTGTACTGGGTGGAACGTTTGTGCAATGTGCATGATGATGTAGGTACGTACTTTGTTATGATAAATATATCGTAGGACTTTTAAACACGTCCATGTATTCTATACGTCTCAATAGCAATAGTGAATAGACAGAAGGTAAACAAGGAATACAAGTTTTAACCCTCGCCGGCACAGGCCATTTTGCGTCCTTCGACGGCACAAGGGGGGGGGGGGTACGACCCCCCCCCCCTCGCGTTTGGCCCCTGATCGAGCTAGAGCTTCGCGAAAAAAAAAACGAGCGTGCTGCCCGTCACGAGAGGAAGCCGATGATACCCAATTTTAAGGTCCTAGGTCATCGGGTGACCTTCCAGGTCAGGTCAATGACCCGAAAACCGGGAAAATCGGGACCTGTTAGAAAGTCGTAAAGTGTGGCTGCTATGTGGTTTTCCGGGGTGCTGGTCACGAATATCGTGTTAGTTTTGAGCAGAGATGATGTATTTAAGCATTTAGACCAGGTCGGGTCAGGTCAGGTCAGGTCAGGTCAACCGGTAGGGGTTGTGACGGGTATTCGTAATACGTGTCAACCGCCTCTGACAGCTTCGTAACATGTTACGAAGGCACCAAAACTACTTCGTAAATGTTCAAATGGTTGCTAAATTCGAATTCAGCTCCAAAAACTAGCCTAGCAACATGTAAAACTCGAAAAAGTGAACCGAGGTCACCCGAGGTCGCCAAAGGTCAATGACCTGACCTGACCTTCAGGTGACCTTAACACCCACCCTAATGTATGGGAGCAACATCAACTCTCATGTTTGAACGTTTGAAACCACGAAAAGCTTGCAAACGCGCGGCTAATGCGAGGCGACATACGCCGAATCGCGATTTCGGCCAAACATGGTCACGGAAAAGAGGTCACAGGTCAAAGGTCATTGGGGTCAGGGTCATGAAATTTTCAGGGTAGATGTAAAATTGATCAATGTGAGGGTACTGAAAGTTTCGTCGCGATCGGCTGCTTTTTACGCGAGTTATTCGGGAAAAACCTTAGGCGGTTGCATCAACCCCCTGTGCCGGCGAGGGTTAAGCCAAGGTTTTAAAGTGGTATTCGACAATCATAACATACCTATTGTGCTAATTGACGAATAAATGGGTGCTAATTGACCCATAAACCACTGCATAAATTTCGGGCCATTCCTTGGGCCATCCGGGTGCTTGAGATCAGCCACCATGGCCTGGCTGGTGTACCCATCTGTGACATATAAGTGCATGTATAGTACCCATCTGTGTTTAGTACCCATCTGTGTTTACATGCCTCTCTAACCAAGCCGTGCGTGCTCTTTTTGAGACCTTACCCACGCAAACCTCACTGTCTGTCTTCCCAGGTGATTCGCCAAGTCAGCTGCCAGGACGTGGTGCCCCCTAGATCCCAATGTCTGTCTTCCCAGGTGATCCGCCAAGTCAGCTGCCAGGACATGGTGCCCCCTAGACCTCACCCTCTGTCCCCTCCCCAGGTGATCCGCGAAGTCAGCTGCCAGGACGTGGTGCCCCCTAGACCCCACTGTCTGTCTTCCCAGGTGATCCGTGAAGTCAGCTGCCAGGACGTGGTGCCCACGTGGATCTCGCTCTCTCGCTCGGGCCGTATGATGTTCCTTGGTCTGCAGAGTGGTGTCCTGCGCTCCGTCAAGTTCCCTCTCTCCATTCCGGGAGAGTGGGAGGAGCACCACGCCCACAACGATGCCATCACAAAGGTAAGACGTCGAACGCAGGCGCTGGACACGGTCTGCCGTTATTTTTACGGGTGAATGTTCACATCAATGGAAAGCAATTCGTTAAAGAGCATTTTCTTTGCTCTGTGCTCCATGTTCAGTACATTTAAATGGTTATTTGTATCAGTGGTGAGTGCTTGTTCTTCAATGATATTGACGATGAACGACTTGATGCAGCTAACTTGCACAATATGTGCCCAAAATGACCAAATATGTTTCTCTCATTCTTTTTTTCAGCCTTGTCTTGTATGCCCGTTTATCGATGCGAACTTTGTTAATGACCCATTTATTGCTTAATTATCACTGGGCTGTCGTTTTGTGCGATTATTGGATCAACTACTCGCATTCCTATGTCTTCATGCCAGTTTTAAGTCTGGGGTCGGTAAGTACATATCACGAGCCGACGTCCTGTCTGGGGACCGGGTGTCTGGCTGGTAACAGCTGCCGTGTCAGTCCGTCAGACAGACCGACACAGACAGTTGGCCAGACGCAGCTCGGGCCTCAGGGGAGGGGTGCATGTCAGACCCACGTGCCCGCCACCCGCCCGACCCTGGCTCATGTCTGCCGAGAGCTGTCTAAGAGGACGAACCCTTTGGTGTAAATCGTCGTCTGGTGAGGGTATAAGGACGGAAGGGTGATCAGATACAGGCTGTGTCGTTTATTTATTTAGCGACGACTTATGCCTGAAACAGACTCTTTCCGCAGTCAGGAAATCGAATGCGAGAGCCTATTCAAATACATGGAAGCACGCTCGCATCAATCGCACGCACCTCGCGGATGCGATTGATGCGAGAAGAATTATAATGTATTTGAATAGGCTCTCGCATGCGAGTTCCTGAACGCGGAAAGAGTCTGTTTCAGCCTTTACATCGACCGGTGTTTATGAGAGGAGGCGATGATATTTAGATCTTATTCAGCAGTCGCTCTAATTTATGTTTGCTTTTGTGTCAATTGAAAAATATCATTGACAACTATAATTTAAAGTGTGGGGAATAAGTTTTCCATTTTATTGTGTCTGCTTAGCTGTATTCATACCATTTAGGTACTGACATCTCATAACCGTCAAATCTGAATCAGTTCATTTGCAAATGCTAAGTCAATTTCCATGAATTGCAAATATCGCAGTTACAATTCAGAACACATAGGTACGGTGCTGGTAACTAAAAGTCAGGCTACCTATATCTCGCATTAAGCACTGGTTTCAAGCAGTTGCCTACAGCTGCTCAGGAATGTGTTGATATCAAAGAACTCACTGATGCACCCGACACGGGTTCTTGACCTCAGCCCGTAGCTTTGTGGTCAACCGAAGGCCACATTCGTAGAACTGTGATCTGCGCTGGAGGAGTTGGACGATGCGTACCAACTGATCGTATACAGTCATGGTGATGGTGTGTGTTTATGTTCACTCCGAGAGGGGTTGTGCGAAGCAGAGCACATCTTCAAACAGAGCACATCACGCATTCCTGCGCTGGGGTGTACACGGAACATGTCTGAGTAAATAGGGAAGAGTATCTTTTTGTCACCGTAACTGTGATATGTGTGCGTCCTTTCTCAATTATTAACCCGCGCCCTGATGGGGTCTGCCGAGCAACGTGGTCTGAAGGGGGGGGGGGGGCATTTTGGCCCCCCCCCCCCCCCCTAAGATCTCGAGAACCACGCAAGATAGCGACAAGCGGTAAACCGCGTTGGATAGCCCCAACGGGGAACTACCTTGTGACCCAATTTCATTGACCTCGGTCAAACCGATGACGTCACAGGTCAGGTCAAAGGTCGAATTTTCACCGTTTACAGGCATTTCAAGAAATGCGTTGTAAAATTGAGTAAGGTGCATTTCATTGAAAATCATCGATGGGGAAATGTTCTTCAAACACGTATTTTGCTATTTGAGGTCACTGATACCAGGTCAGGTCACAGAGGTCAGGTCACTGGGGGTCACAATATGAAAGTGTCGTGTGATACATGTTTTATGGTCCATTTTACATGACAAATGCGATTATGTGGGTCAGGCAGACTTTTGGGCCAGCTTAGGTCACGTTTTGGTCAAGTTCAGGTCAAGGTCAGGTCTAGGTCAGGTCAAATTAGGTCAAATTTCAAAGTTGATATTTTTGCATAACATGGGTACCTACTGATGCGATGCAGCTCGTCACGGGGAGTTCAATGGTGGTCTCCGTTTTGCGCTGCGAGGTCTAGAATTGCTCAGAATTGAGTTCAAAAATTTGACGTCATCAATTTTTAACAGTTTTTCGCTATAACTTGGCCAAAAAAAGAGGTATCGATCTAAAATTTGGTATGTATATCGAAGAGTACAGGGACTATCATATATATTCCGTGTTTTTTTTTTGGAAATTCGAAAATTTTTGGATTTTTTTTAGTTTTTCTAAAAAAATATATATTTTTGGGGTCCAAATCCCAAAATTTCGAAAATCCGAGATAGCAGTTTTGTAGTGCCGTCTTTTCTCTACACGACCATATAAAGAACTTTAAAATTGCTTGTTAACTGTAGAATTGGTGAGCGTTTCAAGATGTCATGTTTTTTGCTCATTTTTACTCGAACATGACCTCAGTTTGACCTCAATAACTCCTGACCTGAGGTGACCTGTGACTTGAAATTTTGTGTGAAGGTGTCAAATTGATGCCCGGTAAGGTACCCAAAATTTGGCGGCGCGAGCAGTTTTCTCGCTATTTAAGAAAAACCACAGGGGGGGGGGGCAAAAATGCCCGCCCCCCATCAGGGCGCGGGTTTATCATTGTTAACCGATTATAATGAACAGCCGTCAGTTGAAAAAGGAACGAAGGTCAGATTGATGAAAAAGAGGGGACTTGCTGTTCCATACGTGTAGTGAGATGAACCGTGCATGAATGGGCAAACTGCATCCCCTCCTGGGTGGTCTGTAACGTGCACTGGATGACCTAACCGTCCTAACCTGTTTGAGCTTTACCCTGGTGTGCAGGCCCGTCATCTGCAGTTTCTCCCGCTGCCGCCAGATGGTGGTGCTGGCGGACGACACTCAGATGTTTACCTGCTCGTCGGACGGCACCCTGGCTCTGTGGTCCATCGCCGACCCCGAGGGAAGGCTCTCGAAACGAGAGCGCACCGTGCCTTACTCGGAGGAGATCCTCGTCTCCAAGGCCGAGCTGGACGTAAGCGGCAGAATAGCTAATTGTAAGATAGCGATTAACGTAACACGCTTCAAAACAACGGTGACACTAGTTTGGCCTGTGCATTTAGGCATAGATGAATCTGATATGAATCGATGCTAATTGTGAAGATGAACACATTTCATTGACGCGTTTTGTAACATTTCTTACGTCTGTTTTCTTAGCTTCTTTTAGCCACACAAGCCATTTGTATACACCTCAGTAGCCTTTTTAAAGCACGTTTACTTTGAAGAATTTAGTGACGTTCTTCCGCTTCCCCAAATAAATATTTATGAGCATAATCTGCAGACAACATCAAACGGTAGAACTGTGCAGCTCAGACATCATATTGGTTGCTGCCCTGCTGTACCTCATGCCGTTTCGTTTGTCGCCCGTTCAGGAGAAGATCCAGCTGATAAACGAGCTGAACACGCGGGTGTCTGAGCTGCGACTGGAGAACGAGTATCAGCTGCGGCTCAAAGACATGACGTACGGCGACAAGATCCGACAGCTGACCGAGCGAGCCGAACAGGACATCCAGACGCTCAACGGAAACATCGAGGTGCGCATGACGTCTGTGACGAGTTAGAGAGAAAGGAACGACGTAGGATTTTGGTAGGAAAGTAGACTGATCGGTAGCGTGGGAGTCGTTTGTAATTTACATCGCCGGTGTGTACTGTAGAGAATTATTGCTAGGATTCCTGCAAAGGATGCGGGTTGGGTCTTACAAAGAAGACAGGTAGAAGTCTCCTCGAACGTCCTGTAGATCAACACGTTGATGCACTTTTTGAGATAGTGACCTTCCCGCGATGTTGCAGGCTCTGAAGGATGAAAAGAGCGAGGATCACGCGGCGCACAACCGCGAGCTGGAGACGCTGCACGCACAGCACGAGGAGGAGGTGCAGTTGCTGGAGTCCAACAACAACGCCAAGCTGATCGTCGAGTATGAAAAGTACCAGGCGCTCGAGAACAAGATGGCACTCATGAAGGAGGACTACGAAAAGTAAGGCTGCTTGGCGAACGTGCAAGTCGCGTTATAGTAACGCTAACTGTTCATCAAACACGTTTGTTAGTGGTTTATCTATTCTGTATTATGAGGTGGATGCAGTTGTCGTTGACTGGTTCCCCTGTCAGGCAGCTGGTGGAGCAGGCCGAGGCGGACCGCGCCGAGCTGGCCGCCCAGGCCGAGGAGTACGAGGACCGGCTGACAGAGAAGGTGGCCCTCCTGGACGAGGCTCGTGAGGAGGCGCTCCAGCAGAAGAAGACCTACGAGGAGATGCAGGTGCAGATTGAGGAGGACGCCGACCGAGAGATTGTCGACATCAAGACCAAGTACGAGTACAAGCTGAAGGCCGAGCGTAACTCCAACGTCCGACTGCGCGGGGAGACGGGAGTGATGAAGAAACGCTTCGTCAGGTGGGTCAACGCCGGCTTTTGGGGGTAGGTTGCCGGAGATAAAGTTAATGAAATGTGTGTAGAAATGTGTCAACCTGCCTATGCTAAGTCAGCCCAGAATGACGCATAGTTGATTGCACATGAATTTCTTTGTGTGAGGATCACTGAGAAATTTTCGTTGCCCTTTCCAGTTTGTCTAAAGAACTAGAGGAGCAGCGTCAGGAGATTCAGCGTCTGCAAGGAGAGCACAGCAAGCTACAGTCCATTATCAAAAACCTCGAGCGGGACATCATCGGGCTGAAAAAGGAAGTCACGGAGCGAGACGAAACAATAAATGAAAAGGTACCTATGTGTAGGTTATCGGTTGAAAGTGATACTTTTGGTTAGTTTGACTGCTAGTTTTCGAGTCGAAACGTTTTTCAGCATGGTATGGGAGTGTGTTACTCATACTGTCGCAAATACGCCTTTGCACAAATACGAAGTCTTACAGGCTTTACTGTTCTGATAGAAAATTGCCTCTTCTGTTAAGTGCTAGAGCACATGGCGGTAACGGATATTTAGGCATCTCCTCTGATTCATTGCAGGAAAAACGGATTTACGATTTGAAGAAAAAGAATCAGGAGCTGGAGAAGTTCAAGTTTGTGCTCGACTACAAAATAAAGGAACTGAAGAAGCAGATAGAGCCCAGAGAGGCTGAAATAAAGGACATGAAGGAAACTATAAATGCGGTATGTATTCTTACACTATCGCTAGTTAACTTTGATCTTCAGTTGCACCGTAAGTTGTTCTGTATATGGCACGCTGAAATTATACCAAAAGTATGCATTAAATAAAAGGCAGGCAAAACCTTGTAATTATTGCTATCCTTCTTATTGGCATCAATTTCTTGGCAATGAATGGGATGGAACTGGAAGGCTAATATTGGATATAATAGGATCGGTAAGGCTTTCTTCATTTATACCCATTTTGCTAAAACTAGTCGATTAATGCCAGTCTCTGCTCATTTGTAAATCTCCTATAATGCCTTGCCTTATTTACCTACCTCTGCTGACTTTCACGGTGTACGTCTCAGATGGAGAACGAGCTGGAGAACTACCACAAGACGAACACGGAGCAGGAGCTGCAGCTGCAGGAGCTGCGGCAGAAGCTGCGCGCCATCGAGGCCGAGCTGCACCGCGCCGTGCAGCGCAACTACGACTTCACCATCGTCATGAACCGCTACCGCAGCGACCTCTTCAGCTGCATGGACCACCTGCAGGACCCCAAGAAACTCAAGGAGGGCATCAAGGTGAATATACCTACGTGATTGAAGTGCGGACATTTATAATTCTAATTTTGCATTTTAATGAGCGGTGTTTATATTTTCAAGTGAGCTGTTTTTTATTGCTAATAGCGGTAAGATGATATCCTGTCTATCCGTCTTCTCTTTCAGAGCTTATACAGCAAGCACGTCACCTCAGAGATCCGACCGGAGAAACTTCTGGTGGACGACTCCAGTCTGAAGGAGTTCAGCCGGCAGAGGGACTACCTGGAGCGGACCGTAGCCGGCCTCAAACACAAGCTTACCAAAGACACGCACCTGCAGAGAGCCGACAACATCCGCGTAGTGCAGGTGACGATATTTGGCTCCCTGAACGGCGCCCGTATGAACACTCTTCGTGTTATTTAGGGAAGAAGAGAAGGAAGCTGCTATGCTAGTAGTTATCCATTTTGGTGACTATCTACATACATTTTGTTTTATGTTGACGGCCGTGAAACAAAAACAGACTTTTGGTGTTCCTGCAGTATTTTCAAATCGCTTATAGCGCTCACGTTCTAGTCGTCCTCACGAACAATGTAGGTATGTGTTGATGCGCTAATGCTCACATATCCCCTCCCATTCGTCCACAGGAGAACGTTGCGCTGATCTCTGAGATCAACAACTTGCGTGCCGAGCTGCACTCACTCCGCGGCAGCATGGACGATCTGGAGTCGTCTCTGGGCCTGCGCCGCTCCTCCGTCACCCCTGCAGAGGCGCAGAGCAAGCTCGACAGGGCCATCATCAAGCTGGACCAGCTGCAGAAGGAGCAGAAGCAGCAGCTGGATGTGAGAAGGACGGTGGTTACGCGGAACTTTTGGGTTTTATTTGTCGTTGATGTTTGCTGCACTGAATTCTCTCGTTTCCTGATTTCTTTTCGCTACGCTAAGTATTAGTCTAAATTTCTAGTTGGTCTTTTTAAGACTTGGACATGCCCTCAGTCGATTCTGTTGTCTTCCTGCAGGCGCGAGACCAGATCATCGACTCTCAGCGCCAGGAGCTGCAGCTGCAGTCGTCGCAGCTGGTGCAGCTGCAGCACCAGCTGGCCAACTGCTTGGCCCAACCCGACTCCTTCGTACAAACCCTAGGACACGGAGAGGGGGGCGTGGATGCCGAGACCACCTGAACAGCCGCCGAACGTGTCAGTTTAGTGCAATACTCGTGAAATAAGATATCGTTGGACCTGAATCACATTTCGTTCTGCCGATGTGCTGGACAACGGAGCCAGTTCTTTGATTTTGAAATTTGTTTGTGTGAATTTTGATTATGAAATCATGAAATATCAAATGCAAGCTGTCCTGTGTTTGACAGGCAAGACCAAATGCTCTTTCTGATGCGTGTGTCATGTTGCTTTATTTATTTTTCAGCATGTTTTTAGGTAGATTAGTCAATTCAAATGCGTTTTCACTTTGCCCTCCCTTTCACTTTGCAAGTCCCGAAGCTCTTTCACCCACCGAGTATTTGAAGTCATTACGCATTAGGCGCGAGGCCTTTGTGAAGTTTCCTTCCCCTCACGGCGCGTTTACACCTCATGTATCTTTAACGTTAAGAATCTCACCTGAAAAGATGGAGTGACCACGGTTAGACGACCTGTGTTCTACCCTACTTATGTGTTATAGTGATAAGTTGCGTGTGGACTTTGTGACTTGAGTGAACATCGCATTGGACGAGTACGAATGTAAAAGAACATCGACAGTAAAATTCAGTCATGTATTTATCGATTTTCGTATGGGTGCGTTGTAATTGCCGCGTTATCTCAAGTTTGAGCTTTATAATTGGACCTATTCTGCATGCAGCTACCTATAATGATGCTGGCATCTACTCCATGAACATTGATACAATATCATATCTAGTGCCAAGTATACACATTGCACATTGACGGGATCAGGGTATATGTACATTGTACACATTACACATGCGTTATGTTCCATTACGCGCTTGGTCTTGCTTCATTTAAATACATTCACACATAATGCAAGTCAATAACATCGTCTGCTACACGCAACTCGAGGTCGGTTGGCTTATACAGCGGCCTTATCGGCAGTTCGTTATGTAAGCAATGGCCGGTGAATACTGAATCACCGCAGTTCGTGGAGCTCTCACAGGATGGTGCACTGTTTGCACCACCGCAGTTCGAGGAGCTCTCACAGGATGGTGCACTGTTTGCACCACCGCAGTTCGAGGGGCTCTCACAGGATGGTGCACTGTTTGCACCACCGCAGTTCGAGGGGCTCTCAGAGGATGGTGCACTCAGTTTGCACCACCGCAGTTCGAGGGGCTCTCACAGGATGGTGCACTGTTTGCACCGGTCGCCGCCTCTCAGCCAGAGCTGCTTCCCCGACCCTCCGCTCTCCTCCTCCTCTCGGCAGACACGGTGCAGCACCATCCTGTACAGCCCCGTGACAGGACTGTGGCAGCCCCGCCGGCGGTGGCTCTCCAGCGTGGTCTCGCTGACACCGAGCTGCCGCAGCCTCGCGCGTGCCTCTCTCTCCTGGGCTGTGACGGGCGCGGCCCGCAGCGACAGGGACCTGCCGGCAGCCGGCGGTGGGTGGCCGTTCAGCCAGCGGCAGCGGCCGGCCTCTGCCGCCGACGGTCGCGCCGCGGGGTCCCTCTGCAGCAGCGCGGCCACCAGCTCTCGGCAGGGCTCGGAGCCGACACCGGCCGGCCAGCGGTAGCGCACGGCGAGTATGTGTCTTCGCAGCTCGGCCAGCGAGGCGCCGTCGAATGGCAGCCGGCCGGTGACGCTGAAGAAGAGCAGCACGCCCAGCGCCCAGAGGTCGGCCCGGTCGCCGCGGTAGCTGGCCGCGCTCAGCAGCTCCGGCGCCGAGTAGCTCGGGGAGCCGCAGAACTGCGTAAGATGCTCGCCGATGCCGCTCACCCGCCGGCTGAAGCCCAGGTCGCCCAGTTTGACGCGCGACCGACTCGCGAAGAACACGTTTTCGGCCTTGATGTCGCGGTGAACCAGCTTCTTCGAGTGCTGTGGGAGGTCAGGGGGCTGCTGGCGTAGCGTACTTACAACCCAAGTGCTAGAAGAGCAACGTATTGGTACTGAACGCTCAGCTACGCTACGAATTATCCCCGCATCTGAATCTCAACGAGTCAACATTCGCCTGATTACTACACTCAACGGTACGACTATTGCATTAAATTTGCCTGTACGCGTGCTGAAATTTCTTTGGAAGCTGAAGTAACTACAATGAATGGACTGACGGCTGCTGTATGAGGAAGCTATTCAAGCTACGACAATGAAAATCGTGCAAGAAACTACAGAACTACATGGAGGCAGAGTTCTTCTACAGTCGTCGTATGGTTCTCCCACGCCTGTCCATACCCAGAAGAACCAATTTTCCCTCTGACCATGTGCTGGACGGCAGCTAGGAGCTGCGAGAAGACGGATCGGGCGTCTGCCTCTGTCAGTGGGCCCTCTCGGCTGACCCTGCGCTCCAGGTCACCGGCGGGAGCGTACTCCATCACGAGGTAGATGTGCCGCGGACTCTCCACCACCTCGTACAACCTGCAGCACGGAGCGTGTGGGTGGTGGAGGAGACTGCGAAGGACTGTTGTCAGCATGATAGGAGCATGGATGCAGCAGAGAGGCAGATAAAGAAGTGAATCAGTCAACAGCCAATGGTTGGAAGTGAACTATATGTATTTATCTGCACATAGCGCAGTATTGCACCGATGCTTTCGAAGCTTTTAACTTGTGCAATATATTTCGAGGTCCATTAGTCGGTAATTTACTGAGGCATAAGTACCATCTACTCATGATATACGTGTAGACGTATATTATTATCAGTAAACACATGCTTCCAATTAAGTGGTCACCTTTTGGTTATTAGATTTACAGAATGTAGATACGCCTAGATAAAAATTGTAATGCATACAATGTTGAACACATATCTGCCTGTTTTCCGGCTTATGTTCGTCATCACTTTACGCCGATTTATCTCCCAGTTAATCTCAAACCAATGAAAAATACTTTGTAAATGACCTCTCATTGAAATTGTATGTAGGATATATTTTACAAAAAGCCAAATACAGAAATGATAAATTTTCGATCACGGATCTTTGTCAAATCACATTCAAAATTCAAAATCATTTTGAATTTGAATGTGAATTGACGAAGATCCGTGATCGAAAATTTATCATATCTGTATTTGGCTTTTTGTAAAATATATCCTAGGTACATACAATTTCAAGGAGAGGTCAGTTACAAAGTATTTTAAAGTACAAATGCTCCTTGCACAAGCACTACACAAGAAGCACTAAGACACAAGCACTAAGACACACAAGCACTAAGAAGACTCAAACCAATGTATTTCGAATAAAAAACGCAGTGAATGGTCCCAAACACGGAAGGGTCTCGAACGCCGACCCCGGAATTCAGACGTTTTCTGAAGGTCCCCAGCGACTGTCGGTTGTTTATTCTCACAGTCGCTGAGTCAGGGAAGTATGGCGTGTCGCCCGGCTCGTCATAACATGTCATAGGCACACAAATATGGGCTTCGGTCTGGGTTGTCCTGGTGGCCGGACCTGAGACGATCATTGTGATTTGTGAGAGCGAAAATTTGTGATGACTTTCAAAGTGGGCAAAGCTGACTTACAAGTTACATGACGGAAACCGCGGCCGCCGTTGTTTTGACACACTTCGTGGTGCATCACTGACTTAAGAAAATTATCTAATTATTTGCATGAACATAAAACACGTCGTCTTGGCTAAGTGAAAAAAAGGTTCAATGACTATAAAGGAATGACCGTATTTTTGGAAGACCTGTCGAAAAGTGATGTAGCGAAAGAAGAGCTCATCAGAGTTAAGTTTTTCATTTATTTTGAGTTTTGACACAGTTTTCAATGGTGCCGGGAAAACGTTGTACCAATGTGCACTCTTTGCAATTACCACTATGTGCGCTCGGAATACTTTAACGAGCTTTTGTTAGGCTAATGTTATCTCACCTGATGATGTTTGGATGATGGAGGCGCTCCATGCTGGTCACTTCTTCTGTCAGCATTTCACGTTTCTTGTGGTCCAACTTTGCCCTATCAACAACTTTGACTGCGACACGTTCTGTCAAAAACATTGGTCAAAGAGTGTCTCACCTTGTGCAACACACAACACTAGAAAGCATGCACCTGTCCTGTCCGAACTCGTGTCCCTTTTCCAGCACCCAGCATCCCCCTCGCGTCCATCAAGACCTGTCCCTAACACCGTGTCCTTCCCTCCCCTGGCCTTGCCCGTGGTAAGTGCAGGATTATCCCTCGTCACTCCCAAGCCGTCCCCGCACCCCCAGGCCTGAATCAACCGCAACTCAGACCCCAAGGGAAGTAAAGGAAGCGCAGACCATCCAGTTTCCTCCTGGCTCCGTACTGCATAGCCGCCAGACCCACCCCTTGTCTAGCGGTGGATGGTTTCCTCCCTGTCCCTCTGGTCTGTCCCTTGCCTAGCCCTTTTTCCCTCGTAGTTGTCCCTCGTCCGTCATTCCTTGTCCCGTCTGCCCGTCATCCCCGTCTCTGTTACTGACCTTCGTCCGTGGTCCCTCACCCTTCGTCCTCGTCTTTGCCCCTTCTCCATGTTCTTCGTCGTCCGTCCCCGTCCCTGTCCCTTGTACCTCGCCCTTCGTCCCTCCGTCCCTCCGTTTCTCCGTTCCTCCGTCTCTCGTCCAAGTAAGTACTGAGCTCCCGTCCCTGTCATTCGACCCTGTCACTCATCCCCTGTCCCCTGTCACCGTCCCTGCCTTCGTCCCTCGCCCCTCGTCCCTCGTCTCTGCCCCCCTCCCCTTCCATCCCTCTCAGACCTGTGGTGAGCTGATGGACGGCCAGCCTCACAGTGGCGCTGTTGCCGGAGCCCAGTTCCCCATACAGACGGTACAGGCCGACCCTGATGCCCTCAGCTCGCTCCTGAACCAGCCGCTCGTCAGACGCCAGGAGCGACGTCAGGCGAGCGAACCGACCCACGTCACCTGATGGAGGGGTGGACTGGCGTCAACGGATGGGCGGTCACGATTCGTGGGGCAATGTCAATTAACATATTCATTGATCTTGTTTAATTAGTGAGCGGTCTGAATCGTTTCAGACCCTTCGAACTTTGATATTCATCGTAAAAGGTCCTCTGAACGGCATAAATTGATTATTGCGTTATGAGTCTCGCTCTCAAGACACTAAATGAGAGTTAACCCATAGTTTTTTCACCACCATATGTAAAAAGGCTGACACTAAGGCAGTGTCAAAACTCACTCGGCTAGGCTGACACACACCATAGCACGTGTGATTCCAAGAACCAATAACTATCTGCTGCGTATCAACACACACAGTTGACGCCACTTGGACGTCATAACGCACGTCGCCACCGCAAAGGGAACGCATTGTTTCGCTGCTGGTGTATGAAATTTGACTGCCAGATGCAGGTCTTTAGTACAGACACGTCTGCGGGGTCAATGGATACTTACGCTTTAGGCCGGGTGGAGTGGCGGCACGGGAGCCCTGGGCTGTGATAATGTGGGGCTTCACGAGAGGTTTTTCAGTGCCGCAGTCCGCGTCGCCTTCTGAGAAACAGTGGGTCACGTCAGCGATAGCCACCCACACCCATATTGAAATTGGAATGTTGTCTGTTTTACATAGTTATACATATGGTAATCAGGGCCTCGTCTAAGGAATTTTCACTGGGGGGGGGGCAGAGACTGAAGGAGCCAAACCTAGGGTACCCCCAAATCCTGTTT